TTCTAGTAACCAATGTAGTACAATCTTATGAAATAGATAATTTGGAAGCCATTCCTTGTCTAGCTGCACTCCTGGAGGTACGATCCTTGCCACAGGGCCTGGGATAACTTCATGGGTACAGCCATCAGAGCTTCTGGTTGGCCCCTGGGTAGGAGAGAGTTTTGGAGAGCCCTTTAAAGGGGAAAAACGGGGATGAGATCCACACAGTCGAGTCTGGGCTGGGATGCCCCATAAGTAGACACTGCCCAGTCCCCAGACACTAGAAGGGAACTTAGAAAATGTCAGTGAAGATACCCCAGAGTGTGGACCCTAGGACAGCAGCCCCACTTTCCCATGCCTAAGGGCAGTATTATCGAAAATATTGTTTCTTTCCATCTATGAACATAAAGTGAGTTAGTCATGAAGACAGTTGGGCGAAAGTGTTCCAGTCAGAGAGAACAGCCTATGTAAAGGCCCTACAGCAAAAGCATGTCTGAACAAGAAAAGGAATAGAAAAGCACCAGGTGTCATAGAGAGATCAGTTGTAAGAAAGGAGTTCAGAGAGAGAAGAGGGTAGCCAGATAATGGCTATAAGATCTTTTTTACCCAAAGTGATGTGGAGAGCCATTGCACTGTTTTAAGTAGAGGTGTGATATGTTCTGACTTCTGAGTTTCAGATACCTCTGAGTGCTGTGCTGATGACCAAATATTGGAGCAGGGGATGCCGAGATAAAAAGAGGGAGAGTAGGTAAGAGGCAATAGCAAGAATCCAAGTGACAGATGATGAAGGCTTGGAACTAGATGAGAGTTCCAAAAGTGACTAGAAGTGGTTGAATTTGGGATATATGTTGAAGGTTGAGTGAGCAGGATTTCCTGGTAGACTGGATATGGGGTATGAGATAGAGAGATCAAATGTGCCATTAGCTGAAACAGAAAACGTTATGAATAGAGTAGATTTGGGAATGGGATCAGAACCAGGAGTACAGCTTCAATTTGTTCTGTTTATGAAGTCTGTTAGTCATTCAGGTGAAAATGCCATGGAGGAAGTTGGATTTCCAGGTTTTAACCTCAGGAAAGAAGTCTGAGCTGGAGATACTGATTTGGAAATCTTGGTCATGTTAAGAGAGTATGTCAGGAAAGACTCGGTTAAATGTTGCTAATGGATTGTGAGATGAGCAATGACTATTAAATGTAGTGGCACGCGATATGCTTAAGGGTGGTTCTATTGCATCATTCAGATTTCAGCTTAGAAATTCCTTGCAGAAAAGTCCCCATGCCTCCCTAACTAGAGTTACCCAGTCACATGCCCACCAATTCATTACTATTTTCTCAGAATCTGTTATCACTGTATGATTTTATTTATTTTCATTTTTTATGTTCTTTGTCTCCTGCACTAAAATGTAAGCTCCAAAACATAAGGAAAGCATATTGCCTTATTCATCACTCTATACCCAGCTCCTAGAAGAGTATCTGAAACTTCATACAAACTCAGCAAATATTCTTTAATGAGTTGAAGTGTGACTGAAAGTAGATTAAAGAGAGTAGAAGTGAAGAAAGGGAGATAAGCATTCTAGAGAGCTATTGGGTTTTGTTACCAAGGAGGGAGAATGAAATGGGGGGGTAGCTGATGAAGGAAGTGAGGACAATGGAAGGTTTTATTTAAAATAAGAGAGAGAAAAGATTGCTGCTTTGCTGATGAAAATGACCCAACAGAGAGGAAAATATAGATGAAAGAAGAAACATAGAAGAGATACTTAGATCAATGCCCTTGTGTAAGCAATAGGTAACCTAAGTCCAGTGCACTAGTAAAGCGATTCCATTGGCTTTGGATTAGGCACAGGGAATGCATGTATAGTAGAAGGTAGGAAGGCAGCACACAAGTGAACGGATGCTGGCAGATCGACAGGTGTATTTGAAAGGGTCTGTGGAAGTTCTCTTCCAGCACCTTTTCTCTGTGAAATAGGAAGTTTTCCTAATAGATATTATTAAGTTTGATCTTTACAGTAGTTTTTTAGGCAGATATCATTCTTCAAATTAATGTACCCTTCTATTCCTACTTTGCTATGTCTTTGTATCATGAGTAGTACTAAAGTTTTCAAATTCTAATATATAGATAATTATATGGTTTACAAACTATTATTGGTAATAAGTTCCTTTAAAAAGTTAAGACCAAGATTTATTTCATAAGTCAAAGTGCTAAAAAAAAAAAAAAATTCAGGCATTAAGCTGCTAAATAATGTGTTTAATAAGTAAAGCTATTTAATGTGAATTAATTTGGGGGATTTATAGAACATAGAGGAGAAAAAGTTTTTGAAACCTAACTGGCCAGTAATAATTTCAGCATGAATGGTCAGAATAGCTCTTATTTATGTAATAAAAGATGTAAATTCTAGGCCTACTTTTGACACTACAAAAATTATCAAACAGATTACAAATATTTAAGATTAGGGATCTCATTATGATCCTTCCACTTCATTTTATAATTGAACTAAAAAAATGGTCATCATAAAGTTCTTGTAGACCAAAGTTATGACATTATCAAGGGCATTTTCTTCTTCATTTACAAAAAGCAAGGTGAAGAAGTATAAAATGAATCCAAGAATTTAATTCTAAAATTCTATAAGCAGGCAGTGAATATGATGTTCTACTATTGAGATAGCACAAATTAAATCAAAGCTATGTGCAAAGATTTTTGATGCTGTTTCTGAATTCATCTATTTGTCCACGAAGGATGTGACTTTTAATTATTATTCTAATGCAGTCACTTTGATGTCCATGCTCTTTTTAAATTTAAAGATAAAAAAAATAATAATATTCTCTGATCAGGACCCTGCCTACCTTTCATATCTCACTTTGTACCATGTTCTCTCTCCTCCACTGTGCACTGATTATTTGGACTTCTATACTCCAGGCTAGTTTCTGCCTTAGGGTTTCTGCATGACCTTTTCTCTTTTGCCTGGAATGCTCTTCCCACCGATATGCTTAAGGGTGGTTCTATTGCATCATTCAGATTTCAGCTTAGAAATTCCTTGCAGAAAAGTCCCCATGCCTCCCTAAGTAGAGTTACCCAATCACATGCCCACCACTTCATTACTATTTTCTCAGAATCTGTTATCACTGTATGATTTTATTTATTTTCATTTTTTATGTTGTTTGTCTCCTGCACTAAAATGTAAGGTCCAAAACATGAGGAAGGCATATTGCCTTATTCATCACTCTATACCCAGCTCCTAGAAGAGTATCTGAAACTTCATACAAACTCAGCAAATATTCTGTAATGAGCAAATGAACCTTGTAGTTATTAAATATATTTGGTAATTATTAAAGCTAGATACCTATTGCACATACACATTTTTACTTAAAAATGAAAATCTTGACGTAAATGTTTTATTCTGTTTGAATACCGTAATTGATCCTATAATTATTATCATGCTCATATATACCATATATGTTTGTTTAAGTAAGAAAACAGAATGCTAAATCATACTATGACCTTAGGCTTTCCATATACCTCATCAAGGGAGATAGTTAAAAAACTTTCTAGTGGCAGCTTTTCGTACCAGAATATCTGGGAGAAAATAAATGTCCTTTGGATTTGAAAACCCAAATCATGAAGGTAACAGCAAAATCACTGTCCCACAGTTAATAAAATAGATCTATAGAGTTGTTCTAGTCCCATAGAGAATATATAATTTCAAGACATGGACACTTGACAATATCTTGATTCAACTACAAAATTCTTTTATTTTGCATCTTTAAAGAATGATGAGGTAGTGGAGAATTTGAGTAAAGTGGTGACCTTCATATTAAATAGCACACTAATAAGCTGAGATTGTCTTTGCTTCCAAAAAGTACACCAGTCGTGCAAACTGGGAGGATACTAACTCCTAAAGTGCTTATATGTATTTATTCTCCCCACTTCTTTCTTAATATTTATTTGGAAATATTTTTTTAAAACACTAAGTCTCTTTTAGACTTATATTCATCCAATAACATTTATTAAGCACAAACTAGTAACTAGGAGTGTTCTAATCACTAGCTTTACAGTATGAAAGAATAAACATAATACCTGCTTTGATAAGGATTATGATCTTTGGGGGAAAACAGAAATAAGAGTCAATAAATATTTTTTAAAGTATAACTGTAATCATAAACTTTAAGAATATAACAAGGATGTAGAATTAGAGAATAAGGGCCGGCCCAGTGGCGCACTGGATAGTGCGCCGCTTAGGAAGCGCGGCGGCGCTCCCGCCCGAGGGTTCGGATCCCACATACAGACTGGTTCCCGCTCACTGGCTGAGCGAGGCGCAGGAGCAACACCGAGGGTTGCTATCCCGTTGCCGGTCCCCGGTCCGGTAAGGGAGCAACACCAAGGGTTGCGATCCCGTTGCCGGTCCCCGGTCCGGTACGGGGGCAACACTGAGGGTTGCGATCCATTGCCGGACACGGAAAAAGAAAAAAAAAAAGAATTAGAGAATAACTGAAGAAAATGACGAGAGAAAATCATCAGGAAAGACTTCTCGAGGAGGTGGGAGTTCATCTGATGATGGAAAACAGGACAAGGAGCCAGCCAAGCAAATGATCTGAGGAATGATCAATCCAGCAGAGGTGCAGGAAGGGGGGGAGCCCTGAAATGGAAAAGGCCCAGATTGCTCAAAATACAGGTTAAAAAAAAAAAGTGTGCCCAGATCCTTGAGAGAAAGAGAATGAAGTATGCAATGTACTGGAGACACAGGCAATAACCCAATTAGGCAGGATAATGTAGGATCTTGACCAGCTTTGAATGTTTAAACGATGCCTCTGGCTGCTGTATGTCCAATGGATTGGACTAAATGGGAAGAGTAAGACCTCATTGACCTTGTAGGAAAGATTTGTTCTTAGCATGTAAGCTAGGAACCACTAAGGGTCCCTTATTTCATCCACAGTTTTCTTACAGCGCTTCTCACCTCTGCATTCCTCAGTGTGTAGATCAAGGGATTTAACATGGGTGTGATGATTGAATCAGACACAGCCATTGCCTTGTCTATGGAGTAAGTGACCACAGGCCTCATGTACAAGAAAATACATGGCACAAAGAACAACACGACCACTGTGAGGTGGGAGCCACAGGTGGAGAGGGCTTTGCGCCGCCCTTCAGAACTGCAGGACTTCAGAGAGCAGAGAATGACCTTGTAGGAGGTGATGAGGATGAGGAAGATGGCCATGCACATCACCCCACTGTTGAGGGTGACGAAGAGTCCCAGGATGTGGGTGTCCATGCAGGCAAGTTTCAACAATGGAAACAAGTCACACATAAAGTGATCAATGACATTGGGGCCACAGAACGGCATCTGATACATGAAGAGAAGCTGTATCGTGGCATGCGTGCAGCCCCCCAGCCAAGCCCCTCCCACCATCAGGCAGCACACCCGAGGACTCATGATGCTCCTGTAGTGCAGGAGCTTACAGATGGCCACGTAGCAGTCATAGGCCATCACAATGAGCAGTAGAATCCCCACACCACCAAAGAAATGTGCCACAAAGAGCTGGGTCATGCAGCCTTCAGGGGAGATGGTAGTGCTCTCAGACAGGGAGTCCACAATCATCTTGGGGGCAATGACAGAAGAGTAGGTGGCATCCATAAGGGACAAAGAAGTAAGGAAAAAATACATAGGTGACTTCAGACTCTGACTTGCAGTCAGTGTTAGCACAATGAGTAGGTTTCCCAAAACTGTAGCCACATACGTGATTAGAAACACAGCAGAGAGTATCTTCCTAAGATCTGGATTCTTCATAATGCCCAAAAGAATGAATTCAGTCACGTTTTTTGGATTCTCCATTTAATGTGGACTGATGCAAGCACATCACTGAGCTGGAAAATCTGCAAAAGGAATATTATTTTTAATTAGTAATCACTGGGTGTGTTGGATATTTTTTGTGCCCTGTCGCACACTCTCTTAACCTACTTTTTTCTCTCACTGTTGCTACAGAAACCAGTGGCTGATAATAAAAGCCTGGCAGAGCTTGATCCTACTGATCCGCACAGCAACACCCTCTCTCACTGGTGCAGTTCTTTTTCTCTGTTCCGGTGCTTGCTGCTTCAGACACTTAGGAGACCCTGCTTCATCATTTGGTGCGTTCACAAACCTGGAAATGTGAAGGAATTAACACACTTAGGGAAACCTTTGACCATTAGTAGGTAGGAGCCAATGGATAAATGGTAACCAGCTCAGCACAATCTTAGATTAACTTTCCTTCCTTCCCTCTTTACTTTTCCCAACACCTCTATTCTGTTTTTCAAAGTAAGCTACCTACATACAATCCCTTCTTTCAGCCTCTCCTTTTCAGGAACTTTAAGCTAGGGTGCTGACCTTCCTTTATCACTACACACACCAAAGAAATTGGAAAATGTCATATAAATTTTAACTTATTTATTCCACATATTTATTGAGCACCTAAATATGCTAGTAGAAGAGCCTAAGAGACAAGTACATCATATCCCCAGGAGTCTCCACTTATTAAGAACTATATTCTTTCCATTTGCATGCCTTTCTTCTAAAATTGGATTATTGCTAATAATATTAATATTGTTAGGTATTGCTGATATTCAATGAGTCCCTGCTATGTCTCAGGCAGTGGAATATGCTATGAGATATTTTCTTCATTTTAGAGATTAGATACTGAGTCTTCAGAGAGGTGAAAAAAATGACACCAAGTTCCCACAGGTAGTTAACACTGAAGCCAAATTCAAATCCAGTTTCTCCTGGTTCCAAAATTAATACCAATAACAATCTACCTTGCTTCTCTTATAACAATATCAACTGTTCAACATGAATGAGATATTGTCCCTCATGATATAAGTTCATTTTCGTAACAATTCAATGAGATAGATGCATGCTTCCTGTGCTTGTTTTATTCAACAATTGTACAACAAAGTTCAATAACAATTCTACAATAAACAGCATGTTCTAATTTTATGTATATAAGAATATATATATATTTCAATCCTGAAACTAGAAGTTACAACCATTAACTAAGTTTCCAAGTGTTCTAATAATTTTTCAGATATAATGATTAAAAAAAAAAAATTAAAGCTTAAGCCTCTTTCTCTGCTCCAAGAAGACCCAGACATATGATGTAGCTGACACCATCCCTGCACATGAGACTGAATTCGCGTAAATTATCCTGTGGCTAATGTGAATATCGTATCATCAAAGCACAAGTTAAATCCATGATCACTCTTCCCTCATAACACACCTACTCATTTCCATTTTTCTTTGTGGAGGGGTGCTCCCAGATAAAACAGAGAATTCTAAAGATTAATCAAAATATCAATTTTAAAAACTCCTTTTTCTTGCACTCACTGTGTACCATCAAGTTTCTAGGTCTGTTACCAGCATCATGGCGTTTATTTTTCATACCATGCAAGATGTGAACTATCATAAATCCCATCTTGAAGATGAGGAAACAGACTTCGAGACACTAAGCGTGTCATCTAAGATGGGTGGGAATTTTGAATCTACGTAGTCTCCTTTTGAAGTACACATTCTTAACCATTACACTATACCTCTGAAGAAGGGAGCAGCAGCCTCTGCTCGCTGGGTGCAATTGCTACTTCAGACAAATGATAAGGTAGAAGAGCTGCTTCGGTAAGCAGCAAACTTCTCTTTGCTAGGGACACTTGAGCAGAGTTTGTGCGCCACTTGGTTATAATATGTTAGAGGCCATTACTTTAAATGGAGGTGTAAACTACTCATTCTCTAAGACTCCTCTAAATACCAAGAGGCCCAGTCTTAATATTCTCCACCTTGCTAAATGAAGTAGACAGCTGCCAGGACATTCTTTGAAAATATGCATTACGGACTAAGCCCAGTCTCTCCCATTTCCAACTCAAGGACTTGAAAGGTTATTGAGTAGCCCTAAGAAAGTAGGGAGAACACATTCTTGGAAATCAGAACAACTGAATTTTATTCCTTGTTGTCCCTCTAATTCCAAGGATATGTTGTTACATTGCTCTCCACTCTGGGACTCAGTTTCCTCATCTGGAGTATGGGATAGTTGTAGCGGATGAGTGGAATGCTAGGGGTTTAAAGGAACCATCGCAGGGACTCTGTCACTGTCAAACACAGTCACTTGGTTCTTATCTGCATTCCATCTTTATACATCCAGGTAAGATTCTCTTTGAGCAACCTCAAGACTTAGAATCATTTAAAACAGCATACAATAGATAATAGATGACAGTGTCTATTCTGCCTTAAAATCTATGAATCTATCACAATTCTATTTGACTACTAGTCTACACCTCAACTTCTCAGCCTGACAATCCCATAGTAACAACCTCCTCTTTTTGTAGTCTCCCTCCCACTGCAGTCCAGCCCATCTCTTACTGAAAGCATACACACTTAGCCTGTTTTGTACAGTGCAAAAGGCCATGAATGAGTAGAATTAGCTCTCCATGCAAGTCAGGCCACTTACTGTCTGCATAACTTTCAAACTCTGCAAAAATAAAACAATGCAATACTGATTAATGTCCATATATACCAAGCACTTATTGCTTGAGAGTATAATGCTAAGGTCTTCACAATTTTTTCTTTTAATTCTTACAAAAACCATATAACATAGGAACAATTGTCATCTTGAATTTCCAGTGCAGTAGGTAAGATTTGGAGAAATTGTGAAACTGATGAAAGCTATTGTTGGGTATGTGATCAAGTTCACAGCACAGGCTACAAACCACTATGCTGTACAACCCCTCAAAGAACTCTCATGAAGATCAAAGGAAGTAACAGGCGTGAGAACATTTGAAGAATGCTGTTCAAATATTCATCATGATTATTTTCCATTCCTATAAGCTCCCAACTTCCTGCTGCCTCTGCACATGCCCCTTGTTAACAAATCCATTACCACTCTTCCTTCATGCCTCACTTCCTCCCAAGTGCCCCCTTCACCACTGTCATTCTGTATATTTATTACATGCGCCTGTATAGGTTGCATAGTAGCAATAATTCAATTATCACCTTCTCTCGCTTTTTTTAATTTCATGCTGATTTTAGCTCCTTATGCGGATGCTTAGGGATGGCTAATTTATTATCTTTCCACCAAGTTTCTAATGCTGTACTGTGTTCACACTAGTCATTTAATTAACTAATTAAATTCATGAAATTGAGTTCATCCAAGGGAAGCAACATGGAACCATGGGGCCCATGCAATGCCCGTACCAATTCCTGCCTCCAGAAATGGGAGTGCCATTGTCAGAGTCTGCCTGCTATTCCTCTGCCATCCAGGCTTAAATGTCCCATTTACCATCTTTCACCTTTACCATTTCTATTCCTATACATGCTTTAGCCAAACTCGAGAGCTGAATCATACCTTGGAGTTCTAGTTCAGTGTTGAATCACTGCCCATCAGATCCTCTTTGTAATATTGTCTTTGTCTTATATAAAGAAGTGAAGGATTACATTTATTCAACTGTCTAATTATTACTTAGTAAATATTTCTAGTTTAATAGCACGTCCAGTAAATATTTCTAGTTTAATACCATGTCCAACAATGTGGAAGACACAAGGAAGTTCCCTATTCATAAATAGGGCAACAGACTGAGCAGACATGAAAACATGCACGTACAATATAAGTTCCAGAACAGGAAAATATCAGTATGATCTACAGATTTCCAAGAAGATGAAATGAGTTAAGCCTTGACAGGAGAATTTAGGAAATTCTAACATCATAAATTTATAATTTACAAAGTGAGCAACAAGAAAAATAGCATGGGCAAGGCATGAAGAGAGAAAGGAAAAATGTGGTGTACATAGTTGGAATATACGGACTCTGATATCACAAAACCTGGATTTCTTTACAGACATTCCAGAGATGTAACTAACTAGAGGTCATACATTTTCCCTAAATCTCAGTTGCTTTTTCCAGTGTTGTTGTATTAAACATATTTCATGCTTAGCATTATGGTTTATACTTTAACATTTAAACTTATAGACATAAGAATATAAAAAGATAGTAATTTAAATTATATTTTAAAATGATACATGGGTCCAAAAGAAATCAAGCAGGAAATAAAAAAATTTATTGAAACTAATGAAAATAATGATACATCATACCAAAACTTGTGGGATACAGCAAACGCAGTACTAAGGGGGAAATTTATTGCATTAAATGCCTACCTCAGAAAAAGGGAAAGCTGGCAAGTGAACAATCTAATAATGCGCCTTAA